TTTGGCGGGGGGGGGCTCCGCGGGTCAGGGTCGACGGGCCACGGCCGAAACCCAGCGCGCGCCGACGAGCAGCGCGCCGTAGCCCAAAGCCCCGGACTCTTCGCCTCTCCGTCGGCCGATCGCTGTGCGTACCAAGGACTCGAGCTCTATGCCGGCACGGAGGAAGCCTTCGCCTCTGAATTTCCTGAGCTTTTGCAGGCGGAGGGCTGACCCTCGCAGTTACTTTAATGAAGTCTTTTGCCGGGTAACGAAACGAACTCGAGTCGCTTTGCCCCGGGATCAAACGGGGACGGACGCTACGTCTCGGCTAAGGCGAGAGCTAAGTCCGGCGCGCTCGGGGAAGGGCCTTCGGTCAGTTCGGGAGCGGAGCGTTATCGGAGCCTTCACAGGATCCGCAGGCGGGTTTGCGCACGGAGCGTCTGAAGGCCGCCGGCCGTGTCGTTATTTTATCAGCAGGCAGCGCTGTGCTACAGAGAAGCTGATTCTAGGTCAACCATGAAAGGGAAATTTTTTTTCCCGCTCTCTCCTTATTTTTGCAGCGCACAGCACCGAAGGCCCGGCAGACGTAACGATGCAATTTGTGCCTTTCCAAACGATATTTAGAGGGGAGGTCTTACAGTCTCTATGACCGCATGAAAGGAGGTTGTAGCGAGGTGGGAGTCGGTCTGTTCTCCCAAGGAACTAGCGATAGAGAGGAAACAGCCTCAAGTTGCACCAGGGGAGGTTTAGCTCAGACATTAGGAAGAATTTCTTTACGGAAAGAGCAGTCAAACATTGGAGCAGGCCACCCGGGGAAGCGGCCGAGTCCCCGTCCCCGGGGACGAGCGGCAGATGCGCCGAGTCCCGGGGCCGCCTTGCGGTCTGGCGCAGGGGAGAGCCAAGGTGTGATTTCATTTGGGCTGAGCGTATTAGCGCTCGTTTGAGGCGACAGTAGCGGCCCCCGGGAAATCAGCGGCGGGCGTTACAGGAACAGCATCGGCGCCGGGTCCGCGTGCTTTCTGGACGGCCTCCTTGGCGGGCGGCTCGCTATTTCTGTGCCTCGGCAAGAGACGCTATAAAAATATCAGCCGGTGGGATGCAGACGGCGCGTGCCCCGACGGGAGCCTCCCATGTGTCTATTTGTGCGCGCCTTCGTTAGGAGCGAGACGCATACGGTTGACCGGTGGAGCACGGCGAGCCGCGGCCCATCGGGTCACGCCGGGCGGGAAGGGAGGGCGAGCGTGGGGATTGCTTGGGTCCAGCAGGGACGGGGGACCCGCTTTCGGCCTCTAGGCCGCTGGCGCTGGCTTCTAGAAACAGCTGTCCGGAGCTAATTTATTTCCTAATGCCGCAGCGATGTTAATTTATAAATTACACTGGTAATTCGAGCTATTATTAATTTCAGATGGTGTAGGGCAAGCCTAATTAAAATATGACACCAATTGCCACACATACGTACCAAGGAGTACCGTTTAAAATTTATAGGAATATTAAGTGCGACACTGGTCTCGGAGACGCTCCGCACAGTAATTACAGCCTCTCGGCCGCGGGAGATGCGACGGGGAGATGTAAACGAAAGGAGGGGGGGAAGTCGTCCCCGTCTGGGGCAGGGAGGGCGTCCTCGGGCGGCGTGCCTCCCCGTCGCTTAAGGCTCTCTCCCTCTACCCCCGCAGCCGTGGGCTTCATCAGCGAGGACGAGTACCTGGAGATCACGGGCATCACGCGGGAGCAGTCGGGCGAGTACGAGTGCAGCGCCTCCAACGACGTGGCGGCGCCCGTCGTCCAGCGAGTCAAAGTCACCGTCAACTGTGAGTACCTCGGGGGCCGTCAGGGGGCGGGGACGGGGTCACCACGCCCCCTCTTCGGCAGTGGGACGCGGGGCAAAGCCGGCCTTCGGGCCCCGGAGACGAGGCGGGCGGTGGCAGCAGTTTTCGGAGCAGGTGGCATTTTGCCTTTTTTTTGTCTTTCTTTTTGAGCTCTTTTTTTTTTTTGCCTCTGCCTCTTCCTCGGCTGTCTCCATCAACCCAAGTTTTACACCCATGGGGAGACGCTGTGCTGATAACCTTTGGGGAGAGGAGAGGAGTGAGCAGTAAATAGGAAATTTTTTCCTGAAGAAAAAATGAGAGAGTGAGGGAGAGAGAGCGCGAGGAAGAAAGCGCATATGTAATGGTCCGAGAAGGAGGCAATGACCCTCCTAAACTCCTCTCCGGCCACCCCTCCGGCTGAGGGGCTCCAGTCTTTAGAGAAGGTGGCACCACGGCACGGGGTCCCTGTCCATCCAAAGTCCCCAAGCACCAGCGCCGGGGCGGCAGGAGCTAGGCACGGGCTCGGAGATGGTTTTGACTCTTCCCTAAATGCAGCGAAAGGGAGCTCGGGGAGCAAGGGGCAGGGGACGGGAGGAGGCCAGTGTCCGCCGGGCGTCTGATGTGGACTCCCGTCTTCCCCGCAGACCCGCCGTACATCTCGGCCGCGAAGAGCACCGGGGTGCCGGTGGGGCAGAAGGGCATCCTGCTGTGCGAAGCCTCCGCCGTCCCCTCCGCCGACTTCCAGTGGTACAAAGACGACAAGCGGTAAGAGCTTGGGGAGGGGTGACAGGGGAGGGTGCGGGTGGGCTGCTAAGGGACGAGACCTGGGAGACCGGCATCCGTATCGCTCCCAGTGCCTTCCCTTCTCCCTTTTTACGGCCAATGATTCCCCCAAGCTCGACGTCGCCGCCATCGGGCGGGACCCAGGGGACGGTGGGTCACGGGAAACAGCGGGCGCCGTTTGTGACCCTACTCCCCTTCTGCCTTTCTCCCAGGCTGGCTGAAGGACAGAAAGGGCTGAAAGTGGAGAACAAAGCCTTCTTCTCCAGACTGACTTTCTTCAACGTCTCCGAGCAGGACTACGGCAACTACACCTGCGTAGCCTCCAACCAGCTAGGAAACACCAACGCCAGCATGATCCTGTACGGTGAGTAGCGCCGGGGAGTCGGCCGGGGGAGAGGGTGCGGCTCGGGTCTCTTTCGGGGGAGAGGCGCCTTCGCCAGCGATCCTGACCGCCCCGGCGAGCCCAGGGAAAGCGGAAAGTCTCCAAAGGTCGCTCTGGATTCGGGTCCCCTGTCCGCCGCCGTCGAGAGGCGTTCGGGATGGGTCGTTGATGCGAAGTTAGGACCGGGCTGCGGGTTTCCGTCTTCTCGCTGTGACCGATACCTAGGAGAGCCTCTGTCGGAAGGTACCCTCCCTACGTCAATCGGTGGGAGGAGAGATGGCGCCCAGAAGTAACGGCCCCCATGGCTCTGTTGCCTTCTGGGTGACGTTTTCTGCTCCTGCTGAGCAGTTCTATTCTTCACGATGGCGCCAGAGGGAGGCGGGAAGGCACAGAGGGCAGGGACGGCAAGGGGCTTAAGGCGCCGGCACGGGAGGCGTGCGAAGAGCCCGGGAAGCGACGTCCGCTTCTCGCCGTCCTCGGAGAAGGGCCGGAGGCGATTCAGGGGAACTCCAGGTCATGGGACAGGCGGGCGCATCTAGGGAGAGGGAGGACCCGGGGCTTTCTCGAGGGGCGCGGCGTCGTAGGGAGTGCTTGTCCTCGCCACCCGCCCCCGGTATCCACGTCGGGTTCCCCTGAGCAGCGGAATTCGTCCCACCTGGGACGCTCGGCTCAGCGCCAGCAGCGCTGATGTCGAGCTCGCCTGGGACGTTACTGAGCCTGAGGCTCAGGCCAAAAAAAAAAGTCCGTGCCGTACCTGACGAACATTAGCATCTCTACCGGCCCGTTCAGCCCTCATTAGCGTTGCCTAGGAACTCTCTCGGTTCTTTTCACCCGCAGCTTTCCCCGTCATCGCTGTCCCCAGTAACCCCGTATTTTAGGCAGTTGGACCCCTCCGGCACCACAGGGCCGCCCGGGCACGGCTCCGTCCGCACCTGCAGCCTCGGGGCAGCGCCTGCCGTAGCCCGAGGCCGGCAGGCATCCTGAGCTTCGCTGTCGTAGGCTCCCTATGGGTTTATGACCTTAAAATCCTAATTAGCGAGGGACCCCGGTTCGGCATCCGCAGAGCCGTCGGCGCCATCGGGCGGGCCGCGGCACGGCGTCCTGCACGCGTCCACGCTTATTTTATGATCCCCCTTAGCTTTCTCGGTCTGACTGTGAATCCCACTGGGGACCAAAATCGGAGTCCTTTGACTGCCTGTCACATCCAGGAAGCCCCACTGGTCTAAGGATTGTTTTGGTCTTTATTAACGGAGCCCCCTCAGGGCACGATGGTTCCCCAGGCCACCCCACCGATGCGGACCCAAGGGGACCGTGACTCTCGGGGGTCCGTGTCTCGCGGCGCAGGGCTCCCCGGGGTCGCTGAGAACGACCGACCCCCCTTGTAATTAGAGGCACCGAGCGTTACGGGGAGCTGGCCGGTCCGAAAGCAACCGGCACCTTTGGTCTGGCGATTAATGCATTTTTATTTATTGTAAGTTGAACACAGTGGCCATGCTATCCAGGGCCAGAGAGAGGTCTCACCTGTCAGGTTTTGGGGGGCAGTTTTCGGAGCGTGCCCATTTTCTCGACGATGAGTGCGCATTTCGGAGTCTTTTCCCCCCACGAGCAGATGTTTAAGTCGCGCGGGCACCGTGACACGAGCTTTTCTGGGGCTGCCTGACAGAGGCAAATGCAATGCATATCTTTTAATCCTGTTTTTTAAGTTTTTGGGGAGGTCAACTAGTGCTTTGTTGAAGTAGCCCACCGGCTCATTCGGCGCCGTCCGTAATGTGACGGAGCGCTCGGAGAAACCGAGCGTCGTTTTGCGGCGCTATGGGACGCATATCGGGTCGGCGTCGCTTCCCAGCAGCCGGCGTCCGGCGATAAATCAGTTTGGGACGTCGTGGGGTTATAGAGAGGGACGGGCTCAGAACCGGCGCCGGATGGGAAGCGGGGGAGCGCGAGGGAGAGCCCGAAGGGCAGCCCCAGCGCTTTGCTTTTCGCTGGGGGCGCGAGCGCAGGCTTTGCCAGGCCACCCCGCAGGTGCGCGTTCTGCAGGCGGCTCGTCCGCGCTCCCGCGGCGCTCTTCCCGGAAGGGGGGGACCGTGGGCACGGAGGCGCGGGGCGCGATTCGGGCGGCGCCATCGCGCTCGCTACCCCGTACGCTTGTTTTTCCTGGCCCCGAGTCGAGGGCGGGCTGAGCAAAGCGTCTCGAGCCTGCAGTTTCCATTGCCCTTTTGTCTTAACTTTCGCTTGTTCTTTAATTTTTTAGAAGAGACAACTACCGCTCTGACACCCTGGAAAGGTCAGTAATTCGGGGACCCCCGCCATGCCAGTGCTTCCCCCTCTCTGTTTCCCCATGACGCTTGTTTTTCCTGGCCCCGAGTCGAGGGCGGGCTGAGCAAAGCGTCTCGAGCCTGCAGTTTCCATTGCCCTTTTGTCTTAACTTTCGCTTGTTCTTTAATTTTTTAGAAGAGACAACTACCGCTCTGACACCCTGGAAAGGTCAGTAATTCGGGGCCCCCCGCCATGCCAGTGCTTCCCCCTCTCTGTTTCCCCATGGCCCCCTCCGGCTTCCGCCCCGACTCATCCCGGCGGGTCCCTCGACCTCCCGCCCCTCCCCAAATAGCGATAGATTAGGGCTTCCTCGCTCTCGTCCAGCTGCCCTGCCATCCCGCTTCTTCCCCGCCGGCCTCCCGTGCCCCTCCGGGGAGGTCTCCGCGGGGCGCTTTCCCCGTGTGGCCGTGTCAATGGGTGCCTTGACGGGTCCTTCCCCCTCCCAGGACGCTTCTAGCGCCTTTCTTCTGGGATTCGGGCAGGGGCGGAGAGGCGTCCGGTCCTCTTTACGGTGTCGTTCGTGGCGAGGGCGGCCGGCGCTTGGCCGTGCTATTTTATGGGTCCAACAGCAGGACTGGGGTCGTTTTGATTTTGGGGTTCCGTAGCCAGGCAGCTTTGTTCGCGAAGGACGAGCGGTCCGCCGTCGGGATGACTCGTAGGCGTCGGGAGGGCCACGGAGGTAGCGCGGAGAGGGTCACGCGTCCGGATCCATCCTTGCGCGGGGCTTCCCGACCGTGCCGGGGTTCGGGGGAGGCTGGAGCGCGTCGGAGGACGTCCGCCCGCAGGAGACCTTGGGGTTGACGGCGCTTGGCGCCCCGGTTGGGCTTCAAAACGAGGGGAGGTGTCCAGGACGCCATCCTGAGGCGTCTTCTCCATGTAGCGTTCCCCTGAGCCAGGGCTTGCGGGTGTTTTGGTGAAAGCTGCTGGGTCAGGCCCCTTTCCCAATTCTTTCCTCGTGGTGAGCTATGAGCTTGTCACCTCCGTTGTCCCCAAAGGCGCGGCTGGGCTGGGCTCTTCTTGTCCCATCTCATTCATTTCGAGACAGTCCGGGCCTGCAGGCAGAGCGT